TTCATATACCTCCAGAGTCACACAATCCACAAACTTCCAACTATTATAAACTCTTTTAAAAATAAAATGTAATACTCCTAGTCTAAAACACACTTCTAAGTGCCAAGTTCTTCCTAGAGTATTAGGACTTGTGTCAGGGTAATGGTGACAGAAGGAATAAATCTGTTCCTTTGTTTATGCCCACAGTTGGAAACAAAGTGAGTATCAGCCCACACAATTCAGTTGGCATTATTCTAAAATACCCTCCTCCCACATGAGGCAGGATTTCATATTTGCAGAAAGTATTTATCCCAGGGGCTGCAAGCAATATGACATTGACTCTGTCTCAGACTTCTAAATCGCCATATTTAGGTAGGTTACAAAGGCCACGTCAAGTGTCTTTCAACACATTGTAAGAATGAGGAATGTGGTGGAAAGGACTATACATTCTTAGAAGGGCTGCATCTATTTAACCACTTTGTAATGGACATCAGCGGGATAGCAGCCTAGCCTGCACTTACCAATGTTTGACCGAGTAGATGGTCATTTTGCAGGAAGCCACTGGTTACCCAGGACTTTTCAGGGTGGGTCCATGACAGCGTGGTCTGGCCACATATATCAAAAGCTGAGGGAAGTGGGGCACCAGTCTTCACATTTGCTTGAATGCCAAGTTGAAACTATGAAGATGTTTTATTGTCTGAACAGTGACGGTGTCCTGAGCTGTATCATGATATTAAGTCAAATTACTTCCGCTTAATTCTCATCACAGCATGATTTTTAAATTAAAATTAAATGTTTGTCTTTTCTCTTTTAGTTGCTACTTACCCCTTATGTAAAAGGCATGAAAGAGTTAAGTAGCAAAACCCACTAATACAGACTTTTTCTGCAGAAAGTCATGTTTTTAATTAACTCACTTACTTCTTTTATAAGCATTTGTTACTCATATCTACAATGTATCTGTCACTGAACCAGGCAATAGAAATGCAAATACAAAGATATCTCCTTTGCTTTCAAGAAGGTTATAACGTCTTAGAGAAGACACACAAAATTAGGTTACAGTGGAATATGATGAGTGCTTCAGCAGTAATATGAATATTTGCTCTGGAAAACATACCAGCAACAAAAATTTTTGGTTTTAGCTGATAGCCTTATAGAGAAGAAATCTTTGCCTTAATTAATGAATAGAAGCTCACCTGAAAGGGGGGTTTGCTTTACATTCTAGTGCAAAAACATTGTAGCAGAATGGTCTGATCTATCTTTCAACTCCTGCAGCTGCAGTGGGGGGGTGACTATGGTATTGAAGAAGACAGTGACCTTTTTACAGGACCAAAGGGAAAACCTGGCAGTAAATGGCCTTGGGCTTTCATCTCAGAAGTTACTTTAAACACATCTTAATTTGAGGAGCTGCATAAATCTCTCCCCACCACAGACTTGAAGCTTGAATGCATTTGCAAACATTTCAAAACACTACCAAGATTTTGTTCCTTGTAATGGTTGCAAACATCCCATAGATTTAGGTAACAGCAATCAGGAATCAGAAGATATCAAAATGATACAAGCGTAGAGCTGTGATTAATAGAGGCACAGAGAACATAAGGATGAAATGTGAAGAACTGCCACTACAGAAACTGACCATGCTCCACTGTTACCGTGGAGGATTTCACACCACAGTACAGCCGGTCTTTCAAAGACAGTGAGAGAAGCCAGAGCCACAGAATTTTAAAGATGAGGAAAGATCTGAATGAAGACCCCCACTGAGACCCCTTGTCCCACTGCTTCTGGATGAGGTCACAAATACTACGGTAAGGAGGTAATCCCATTTAATAGGTTGCAACTATACCTGCACCTTACCTACTTTTCTTGTTATGTATGGCCCAAAGATGAATGGTGCATTGTTTAGCTGCACATTTCCTGGCATGTGGGCAGCTCTCCATAAATATTTACGGGAGGAATGTGTACACTGTAAATTGTTCATGCCACAACACAAGTAGTTTTCTTTCCCCCATATTAATCCTTTATTAGTTATTATAAAGCGCATGTTAAAAGAATCCCTTCTACTGTTGCTACATAAAGGTCTTAGAAGGGAAAGGATGTACCAAACATCTGCAGCTACTGCTGAGTTATTCTAGTTCAATAAACCACGGAAAGTAATGCTGAAAGGAGGGTTCTTCAGTTTGACAGATCCTCTTCGTAGGCTAGCCTCCTTTTTAATCTACAGTTCTTACCTTTCTATAAATATCACTTAAATTGAGGGAAAAAAACAATCTGAGTTTGGTAGATTTTCATGGCACGTGTCAGACTGATAACTCTTTCGGTGAGTCGAGTTTATGTGGAACCCAAAAAGCTGTCATGAGTGACATATCTATGATGGCTCTGGTGGAAAAAGTTGCTTCATGTGCCTCTATCTTTGTTAATTACTGAAAGAGACGTTTCTTAAAGCCCAGACCATGTTAGACAATGAAGAAAGGGATTTTAAGCCATTTCATAGGAAAGAATTTAAAAGTTTTCAAGGCTTTTAAAAAAACCGTCAGAAATTAACCTAAATTATACAATACTTACCAAGACTCCAAATAACCAAAAGCTAAAATAATCCAAATTTGATGTTGTAACTACTATTATTCATACTTTTGGTTTATGACTAGAAATAACATACTAGTTCTTCCTGAATCACAGAATTAAATTTAGAATAACTGTATTATGATGTATATTTGATAATATTCTGTTCATCTGAATATTGGTCTATCATATAAATGTTACACATTTATTCACTCATTCAAAAAAGCATTTATGGCGGGGAAGGGTGTAGCTCTGTGGTAGAGTACGTGCTTAGCATGCCCGAGGTTCTGGATTCAATCCCCAGTACCTCCATTAAAAATAAAGAAAGAAACCTAACTAATCCCTCCCCCCAAAAAAGCTTTTACTTTCTATTTGAGGGCAGTATGCTAGATACTATGGTTATAAATAAATGGATTGGTCCCTACCCTCAGGAAGATTAAAATCTAGTATATTAAAACTACAACTTTTTGTTTGTTTTGTCACCTCTGTCTGGCCAATGACTGTCACATTTGACTAAGATGATGGATTCATAGCCATTGTGCAACAAAAAAGGTGGAGAAAAAGACACTAGACACAAGAAAGGATAACAAAAAGTCATCTATTATTTATACTGATAGCAGCACCTTATTATTATTATTATATTATTATTGTTATTAATAAAGCCTTTTTTTCCCCCATCAGATTGAAATCTCACTTTCAGGATACTTCAGGCCAAAACTTATTCAAGAAATAACCCCAAATCACAGACGTAGAAAACAAACTTATGGTTACCACTGGGGGAAGGGGATGGAAAGGGATAAATTGCAAGTTTGAAATTTGTAGATACTACTATATATAAAATAAATAAACAAGTTTATACTGTATAGCACAGGGAACTATATTCACTATCTTATAGTAAACTATAATGAAAAGGAATATGAAAACAAATATATGTATTTATATGTATGACTGAACTATTGTATACCAAAAATTGACATAACATTGTAAATTGACTGTTACTTCAATAAAATTTTTTAAAAAAAGAGAAAGAATCCCAGCTACATGGTGGTAAAGAAAATTCAAGATTCAAGACAACTGAAGTCATAAATAGCTCATGGCTCAACTTAATTGTTCTTTCTCCTCTCAATGCTGCCTGTTAAAATTTTGTGATTGGAATGCTTTCCATCTGTGCCTTTACTTGAATTGTGCAAACATAGCTGATGAAAACCATTATCGCTCTTTTAGTCTCCAATCTGCTTTGTGTTGACACACTCACAACCAGACAAGCGTTAGCTCAGTCACACACGATGTTATATATGCTTTATGTCCCATGTTCAGAGTTTCTCTCTGTACTTCAAACTGCTTTACTCACTCTTATTGTTACGGAGAATATGTACCCACACGCATGCAGACATATTATCCATAGGATTGATCATTGTGAAAGTTGTGTTGGGTTCTTTTAAATATTAAACATTATTAAATGTAAAGGTAATATTAAATGTAAAGGCTCTAGTAAATTAATGAAAACAATAGAATATGTTACTGATATTTTTTTCCTCCAATAAAGTGTTTTCACTTCTCTCACGCATTTACACATTCTTCTCACAAGGCTACCATGGTGACCAAGTACTGCTCTACAGGGCACCATTCACATTATTGTTTTTTTCAGTTATTGAATTCTTTATTTCTGGTTGGGTTTTATAATTTCTACTTCCTTGTTAAAATCCTCACTGGGTTCATCTATTCTTTTTTGGGGGGGTGGGTAATTACTTTTTTAATGGAGGTACTGGGGATTGAACCCAGGACCTTGTGCATGCTAGACAGACACTCTACCACTGAGCTATATCCTTCCCCTAATGTAGATGTATTTTGAATATGTTCATGAATATGTCCTTCTACTCTGCTATCTTGAATGATCTCCTACGGTGCTATTAAAAAAATAATTGTGTAGCTAATTTTATTTATGGATGTCCTTTCTTAAAACCTCCTTTTTTAGAACAACTCATTGAAGAATTATCATATACGTAGTGTCTGTATTATGATTACTGCTCACACATTCCCTTGGTGATTATAGTCCTCATGTACCAAATAAACTATGTAAGATACCAAAGCTAAAAGTCAAATGGACCATTTCCCCTTTGGTCCCTCCATTTATACAACTCATGCTTCTGAGTTTCTCTCTGTAATTATTATGTTCTGAGAGGAGATAACAAAATGTTCTTTGTAGACAGTACAGATACCTCTAAACCCAAATGATCTAAATAGTCTATGTCTATATATTGTCGTGTAGATGGAACATTTTTGCAGCTCAGTCAGTGAAATGTATACTATTTCTATGCTTGAAGAGATTTGTAGCTGATTACATTTGTAGCACATAATACCTCTTCCCAGGAAATATGTTGATTTCATATAAGTGTTTTATGAAGGTGGTATGTAAGTATGCACGTGTGTGTGTGTGTATGTGTGTGCACACTTTCAACACATACCTCCTGATTTCTTCACGATTATCCAGGAGAGCCTTTCCTGGAGAGTTTTATTTCTAAGCTTCACGTGAACATCTGGAGTTTTCAAGGTGAAAATGACTCCTTGTGGGTTGGTCTTAACAGCACGCTGGGTAGCACACACTGAAAGAGATTAAGATGGACAATGGGACCACACAACAGTTTCCTCCCTTATAAACCTTTTACATCACTTATCAGAATTTTAATTCCATCTGCTAAGTAACGCAGGGCCCAAAAGCAGAGACTGTGCGTGCAGCCACGGGCTGGACCCCTCACTGCTTTCTCATGGCACCTGCACTGCTGTTTCTGTGGGCCTCTGGTGAAGCAAGGCAAGTCTGAGTTAAACGGTTAATCCTTTAATTTTTTCAATAGGAAGAGAAAACATGATTTTAATGACCATTTGCCCATTGCTGGAAAAGTATAGCCCTTTACAATTTAGATCCAAATAATCTTATCAATTAACATATTTTAGAATGATTTAAGTTAGAGTATTTAAATATAATTCTTGGAAGAAAGATCTTTCCTTAACAAAGCTGGAGTGCTCATTGCCAGGCAGCAGAGATGGGCAATGTTAATGTCAATTTCTTTACTTTTTATAAATGCCACCTGTGTTACCAGCATTGATTTGAAGGTGATGTAATTTTCTTGCACATCCATTAGTTTTATAGGTTTTTGGCAAGCCCTGCTGCTGTGTTGATTAGATATAGTAACTGTGTCTATTTAAACATGGTTTTAAATGCTTGGCTCGACTCTCTATATTGGCTGGATAACAAGACATACAGTAGATGCTTTAACTTAAGGTTGTGCTAAGCAGTGATTTGACACATAGCTTAGTGTTTAGCCACTTGTGATAATAAGCACTTTAATTGTGGAGTTAATTGTAGGTACCTGCAAGACATACCTTTAAGTGATCCTGACAAATGAGATACAGACCCTCATTTGTGAGAGTGGCTTTATTCTAACAATGTTTCTGAAAGCTCAGTCCTCAAAACAGCAGGATCAGCATCATCTGGGAACATGTGAGAAATGCAAATTCTTGGCCCCACCCCAGACCCGCTGAATCAGATTCTCTGGGGGTGGGGCCCAGGAAGCTGCTTTAACAAGCTTTCCTGGTGATTCTTCCCATGCTAGTTTGAGAACCTCTAGTATAAGAGAATCCCTGACACGCAGTGCTGCTACATTCTGGCACCAAATAACTCAACGTGAATCATTTTTATAATTACTCTTAATGAATTAACCTTCTGTACCCAAATTAGCAAATGCTGGAAAATCATTTAACATTAATGAAAAATTATCAGTTATCTCTTAATTTTTGAATATTTATCCTCACCCTGATAGATAGTGGCTTATAATAAATGTATTAGGATTGAGGTTTGCAGTGAGGGAAAGCAGCTAATCTTTGTTTTCTTTATCTCTCCTTGCTTCCTCGTTTTCATTATCTAAAGAAGTTAACATCGCATGCTCCATTACACAAGATGCAGCTTTTATTATCTTTTATCTCTTCCTGAACCCCTTCTATAAATGCTACTTGATTACTCTTGCATGTTGAGATAGACATTTAGAATAATCAAAACATCGAGAAAGTGATGCTTGGTTAATCAGGGCAGCGCAGCTTCCATGACACAGATAAATGGGCTGAGGCCGATGTAAACACAAGTTCTACTGGACGGGCTGAGATGATGTTTTACGGGAAGGAATAGAGTGAGAGACTTGATGCTAACGAATAAACAAACAAAATGGGAACATACGAATTTTCCAACAAAAGAAGTATTAATTTCTCTAGGGAAAATAAGAGCCCCGATAATTTAGATATCTTGAAATTCACTGCAGGGAATTCAATTCACTTGTAATAACATATAGTGGGAAAGAATCTGAAAAAAAGTTTATGTTATATGTATACATATAACTGAATCGCTTTGCTGTACACCTGGAACTAATATTGTAAATCAGCTACACTTCAATAAAAAAATAAAATAAGTAAAATAAAATAATTACAACCAAAAAAAGAATGTTATTTGGAAGAAAGACATTAAAAAAAAACTCTTCTTCAGAATAACACAATCTGCATTTGATAGGCAACTGAAAGGTTATCTATTTGAATAAATCAAGAAAAATATTTTTTAAATTTCATTGTTCATTTGTACATTCACTTATCAAACACTAATTTGACATTTTATTTTTGTCCACTTTTAGCTGAGCTGAAACTATGAGACATTCTGTGTGAGACTTGGAAGCCAGAAATGAACCATAGCCAGGGTGCTTCAGGGCACTGTGTCACTTACACCTTGGTTCACCTTGTGAGGACAAGCTGGAATCCACAGGGATGAACTGGAACTCCTGAGGGTCTCTAACAACCTCTGAAGATCTCTCTCTGATTACAGCTGGACCTGCAGAAGCAGGTATTTCCATAATGTAGGTGTATGTGTAAGTGGTACGGGAATTTGAGATGCTAGAGGAAGGTATCCACCAGGATCCGTGTTTGCAAATCTGAAAATCTCTGTGACTTACAAGTTATAAAGATTTATTTCTGGCTCATAATATGTGGTGATCTCTGCTAAGGAGCTGCGCTCATCCTGTCTTTTCATCTTGTACCCCAGGCAGAAGGAGCAGTCCTGATCTGGAAAATGCCCTTCTCCTGGTAAGGGGTGAGCCCATTCCCTCATGGTCTAGGCTCAAACATACCTTTGGCTACATGAACTCATGTTTTGTTAGGCAAACATGTCACACAGCCAGACCTGAATTCTATGGGGCAGGAACGTATTTTCCTCTTACAAAGAATGGGGAATGAATAGTGGCCAATAGCAATGCCACAACCATAGTAATTAATTAAATAACTCTAAGTTGAGATTGGTTATTATTTATTGGAGGCCTGGAAGGTCCAATGCTCAACCATCTTAAAGCATAAGACAAAAATGCAGTGAGATGAAAACTGGAGAATAGGAAATTTTAAAAAGCAGAAGTTCCAAAAGGAAAAAACTCAACAATTATGGAAGAGAGGTATCACTGAAATAAATATGAAAATAAAATTTCCTTGAATAAAAAAAGTTCTGATTTTGCACCAGACTACAATTATGAAAAAAAGACATACCTTGGAAAATTCTGATAAAATTTCTGACTCTAAGAACTGCTTAAAAAAAAAAAAACACTAACCATTTATTTTCCAAGTAGAGATAATAAAATAACCCCAAAAGAAAACAAAATTTCAGACCATCGTCAGGCTTTTTATCTCGAATACTGGCAACTACAGAAGAATGAGATAGCAATATAGAGCAGGGAAAGCATAAAGGGCTGCCGTCTTGAGTCCTGAACCAGCCAAGACCTTATTCACCAGTGAAAATGAAAGGTAACTGAGGTTGTGTAGGAATTCTGAGAGTCTTCTCATTTACATCAGTGACAGCATGAATCAGAAAAGAAACACGAAAATTGTAATAACGAGGAAAATATAGTATGAAAAACTGTTACGTAGGCTACATAACTAATTACCTAGCTCACAAGCTAGATATAGGTGGGTACAGAAATATACATCTGTACAGCAATCTGCAGGGCTACACTGAATAGGTAACTGCATAACCAGACTTGCAGTTTACAATGACATCTTCTCTGAAAGTTTGGTGTCCCAACTAATTGGACTGGTTTCCATGCCATACAGGTCGTCACATTTTGAATACTTCCCTTGCAATATAAAGGGTTATATTTATAATTCCTGGAAGTTTTTAAGAAGGACTTTTGAAATAGAAAAGAGATACTGGCCCTGGTTTCTCTGTGGAGACGTAAGTGCAGCTTGGTGGGAAAAATAGTAACTACCTTAATTTCAATGAATTGTATATTCATAAGTGTCTAATTATAAGAACAGCAACTATCTTGATTGGAAAATTTCATTAGAATTCCCAGTTAACAAGACAAACATGAAACAAATAGTAACTTGATTAACTGAGTAACAAAATAAGGAAAAAAAGACAATTAACAATGTATAATGAAGGAAAAATAAAATAGAAGGAATGAAATCAAATTTACTGGTTTTTAAGGTATATAAATAATTTTAAAATCTTGAGTTTAAGAAAAAAATCTAAACTGAAATGAAAACTGTCTTTAGAAAGCAAGAAAAAGAACATTTCAGAAGAATATCTGTGACATAGCAAAATAATATCTTTGTAATATTTCTCTTTTCCCAGAGGGAAATGAACAGCCTTAAATGTCTTTGATGTTAAAGAAGAGAAGGAATTAAATATCCATTTAAGAAGTTAGAAAATAAAAATGCAAGATGTAGGAATTAGTAGAGATAAATGTAAACTGATGAAATAGAAAAAAATAAAAAACATTCAAAGGATAAATAACTATATCCATTCTCTGGGCAGGGAGCAGTAAAATAGGTAAACCCTTTAGAAGTCTGCTTAAAGAATAAAACTGGATAGCCAAAATGGATAATATTAAGTATGAGAAAAGAGACAAAACCACAAAGAAAGAAAAGCTAGACAAAAAAGAGAATGCTATTTGAACAATTTGCCAAAAATGACAGAGTAGAAAACTGAACAGAGCCAATTACCAGAGAAGAGATTGAAAGCTGAAGCATCACCACTGAAAAATGGACCTGAACAAGGGCTTGCAGCCAAACATTATGTAATCTTTGAAGAACAGTTAAGTAAGTTTGATATTGTTTAGATTATGCAAGGCTATAGAAAATAATGAAATTCACTCATTTCTTTTGTGAAATTAGCATTATTTTGATACTACTACCTGATATAAAGACTATTATTACAGACAAATCTCAATGAATAAAGAGGTAAAAATTCTAAATCACATAATAATAGAATTCAGCAGTGCATGAAGAGAGTATTTCACTATTTCTAGTTCGCATTTAAAGAACTTACAGGGCCTTTATATCAGGACATCTATCAACATAATTTATTATAAGCTGATGAAGGGGAAAAAGTTTGATTACTATTAACAGATGCTAAAAATTATTTTATTAAAATTCAGCAGTCAATTCAATTTAAAATTCTAAAAAATTGAGAATCAAAGGAAAGTACTTAAGTGTAACAAAGGCTATTTACAAAAATAGTAAAGCTTAACACAAACTGTGAAAATTGAAAACATTTTATTGAAGATAAAGGACTAGAAAAAGATCTTCACTATCACTATAATTAGTTGTTCTTCAAATTTTAAACATAAGCAATAAAGTCTATGGCCATACTACCCAGAACGCACCTGATCTCATCATAAATATGAGCAATGAAGTGAGACAATGAAATCAACAACATAAGCATCTGGTAAACAAAGTTACTTTGCTGGGGATATAACTGAAGATGGAGAAAAGCAAGAGATTTTTGTTTAAAATTTTTATAATTAATATGATTATCTGGACACCTTCATCAATGGCTTTTTTCCTAACCTAGACAATAGCTAGCACAGATGTAAGTGGCAAAAACTATTCAATTTAAAATAATATCAGGGGAAAGTATAGCTCAAGTGGTAGATCACATGCTTAGCATATACAAGGCCCTGGGTTCAATCCCCAGTATCGCCTCCAAAATTAAATAAACCTAATTACCTCCCCCTGCGGAAAAATAAATTAAATTAAATTAAATTAAATTAAATTAAATTAAGAAAAATAAAATCATATCAAAAACAACAAAATGCCAAAGAATGAAATTTAATAAAAACACTATAATAACTAGAGGAAGAAAAAAATTAAATCTTACTAAATAACTTCAGAGTTTATCATATCACATTTTCTTGGATGGGAAGGCTTAATGTTACATTGTAAAATATACAGTTTATTTCTATATGGAGGAGAGAAAAATAGCCTTATTAGATATCACATGCTATAATGTCACTTTAATGAAATAAAGACAGTATCAGTGTAGGAAAAGAAAAATAGATTAGTGAAACAGAAATAGAAAATTTCAGTTTGTAGGGCTTTAAAACAGGACAAAGCAGTGGTTAATTCAGTGGGAAAAAGATAAATTTTTAAACAACACAGGCACAACTGGCCAACCATCTGGAAAGGAATAAAAATGGAACTTCATCTTACCCGACATACAAAAATAAATTCCAGATGGACCAAATCCTTAAATGAAAAAAACAAATGGACAAACAGAAAAACCATAAAAACTTCATAAATAAGAAGACTATATATACCTAGAAATTAGTGGTTGGGTGATCATTAAAATCAGTTCTGGAATATTGGAAGGTATCATAAATATAGTCAATTTTATACAAAAAATTTTATATGGAAAATATATATAGTCAATAGACGATGACTGATCTGTAAAACCAGTCTAATTTCTAATGACATACAAAGAGTTAATATTTATAAAGAATGAGTTTTTACAAATAGAAAACCAAACAGTTCAATAGAAATTGGATCCAAAATATAACTAAAGAATTCACAGAAAACTAAAACTTTATAGAAAATATACTAAAATATATTCAGAACATGATGATGCTAATAGACACTGTATTGTATTAACTGAAATTTGCTAACAGAATAGAACTTAGATGTTCTCGCATACACAGGCACACAAAGATAATAAACATGAGAAGATAGATGTGTTAATTAACTTCGGGGGAAATCCTTTCACAGAGTGTATATACGTCAAATCATCACGTTATACACTTTAAATATCTTATGATTTTTTGTCGATTATACTTCAATAAGGCTGAAAAATAAAATTATAACTATCTGTAACAGAAAAACCATATATAACTATATAACCTCTCACCTCTGCACCTCCTGATTCTTAGCATTGTTCGTAATACGCTAATTTGGTAATATTACAGCACTCTCATAGTGTGGTGTTATGAAGTAAATTTTGTGTTCATAGTACAATAATATATTATTCACATGGCAATAACATTAAAAATCAACCAACAAAAGATAGCCAACCATACCAGCAATACGTAAGTGACTTATGGATTAAAAACAAAAATAATGAAAATGATAGTATTTCTAGGGGAAAAAAAGAAACTTTGTATCTACAGGTTTTCTTTCCTCTATCATTTACTGTTCCTATGGAGAAGGCTGAGTGCCAGGCTATTGATTCTGCTTCTCCATATCATTTTTTTTTAATGCCTGGATAACCAAGAAAATATTTCTTTTATCTTAAATCCAGCTACTTTAAGAACATGACCTCATAGTAATTGCCTTGCATCAGTTTTTCCTAGTACATAGTGTAATGTTCCAAATTGTAGACTCAGGTATTATTTACTTTTGAAAAGCTGACTGCTTCTATTATGGTAGGGAATATAATGCAATTCCATTTATTCTGAAAGAAGAATTATGTGTGTGCTAGATAACTTGTATAGCTGTCATTTTCCACTTAAAAATTAATTTCATTCATGCTGCTTTCTATACTACTAATATTGTTTTCTGTCATGTCTTTTGAATTTCTGCGGCTTC